ATATAAAAAAAGAAAAAAACTATTTTTGATTCGAAATTCACAAATAAACTGCATCTCTACCTTAACAAACAATTGGTCTTGAAAAAAATCAAACAAATCTGAGAAACATTACATAGTGTAATCCCCTTGACTGCAGTAAAAGGTATATTCTGTGAGCAGAGACGGGTCACTGAATATCTGGGAATGTAGCGTGGATTTAGATGATTTGGAGGTTAGAGAAGAGAAACAACAAACTAAACAAACTCAGGAGGAGGATGCGAGCAATGATAAAGAAGATGAAAATAAGAAAGAGATGGTTAGATATAAAAGAATCGCAAAGTAAGTTAATTTCTAAATTTCACTGTAACTTCCTGAAAAAGACCAATTATTTGACAAAATTGAAACAAAAATTTTAAAGTGGACGAGTTCATCAATATTTAGCAATGGCCGCAGCATGATAAAAGTGAATTTGGAAACTTTATTTATCTCTAGTCATATTTTAATAATTCAGTATAGAAAACTGTATTTGCCTTATCTGTAGTACACATACTTACCTAAATGATGTACATATAGTCAAAATAAGTCGTATTTTAATAATTCTCTGTACAACAAATGTGATGTTTGGTTTAACTGTGTTTCTATTGCAGTTATGTTTCTGATAGAGCAAATACAGTATTATGAATTTTGTTTTTAAAATTTAGTTTTTCAAAATTATGACTGAAATTTAATCAAAACAGTAATTTTTCTGTATTCATTTATTTTAGACATTATTTCAACCAAGAGGGAGATTTCAATAATTTAACGGCGGTTGACTTTCACAAATCCAGTCATATCTTGGTCACTGGATTTCAGTCTGGTGCTTTTTATTTACATGAGTTGCCAGAATTCAACAACATACACTCATTGAGGTAAGATATTTCCTGAATTTTGGTATTCGAAAAAAAAAAACATGGCTACTCCCGGTGAATCCGTTTAAGCATTTGTGTGATTTTCAAGTTAATACGAATATGTAAGATATTTCCTGAATTTGTGTTTTCGAAAAAAAAAACAATTGCTACTTGAGAGGTACAAGTTCAGCTTTTTTGTTATTCACGAATTTTGCTCAAGTTCAGGTGAATATGTTAACATCATATCAAGAGTTCACCATGTGTCATGTGACCATACATCAACCAATCATCACGCTTGCTTCCTAGCAATACAATTGTCTTCAGGTCAACATCACTGAATATTGCCCTCCATTATTTTTTTTTGTACACATGAACAGCATTTCTGACCAAAGTATTGCGGCCGTAACCTTTAACCTTACTGGTGATTGGATAGCACTAGGATGCTCCGGACTTGGTCAGCTGTTGGTCTGGGAATGGCAGAGTGAGTCTTATGTATTAAAGCAACAAGGTCACTTCAATAATATGACATGTTTAGATTATTCTCCAGATGGTCAATATATTGTGACTGGTGGTGATGATAGTAAGGTGAGATTTTGATGTTAAGTATGCCCTCTATGACATATTGTGTAAATTTTTTCTGTAAAACTCCAACAAAGTGGAGGTAAACAAAACACGCAGACATGTAATCCCTATTAGTCCTCATTCGAACGCAGTTCGAAAACAGGGACTTATGGATTGACCTCTGTGTGACCGTGCATGCATCCGGACCTGTATCTTAGACATGCCTGGACCAATTACAATCAAACTGCACACATATATCGTAAATAATATTATACATATGCACATCAATTTGTTTTACGATCTGATTTAAGATGGCCGAATGGCGGCCATTTGTGTACCGAAAAATCATCAAAATCAAGAATTTCTCGGCTGTTTACAGATGAATTTTGTTCAAACATGGTAGAGACATTATGGGACCTTGATGCAAATCATTTTGTTTTGCAGATAAGATTCAAAATGGTCAACTGGTGGCCATTTTGTTTTAATGAATGTGGTTTTAGTGCTATATCTCTGACTTGCTTTGACTTATTATGTTCAAATTTTATATATTCATTATACATCATATACATGTATTCAAAATGGCTGATTTTGTTTTAATTAATGCTGTTCCAGAGCAGTATCTCTCACTATGGACTCGTTTGACGATCAGATACAAATGTCAATCATTTTAATGTTAAACAATCATGATATAATCATGTTCCTGACATGGTTATAACGAGGACTGTGCCATGCATTGCTTGTTACCTTTAAATTTCCAAGAAAAACAGTTTCAGTTTTGTATGTCTAATTAACAGTTGCCAAGATCCACAAGTCAATGTTACTTGCAAATAAACAAAGTTCATATAAAAGTCTTACAGCTGACGTAATTGAAGCGTGCCCAACACAATGTTCAGGTAAAATGCTGTGAAGAAAATCATTGGTTAACAGAAACCACATGATTTGGGGATTACAAACCCTGATAGGCTAATTGATGACATGTGACCTTAAAGTTGACCTTATGAACACCGCCCTCAATGTCATCTTTTACAATTCATACGTACCTTTGTTTTTGTTTTCAGGTCAAGGTATGGAACACCAACAATGGATTCTGTTTTGTGACATTTTCTGAACACACTGCTGGCATAACTGGAATACAGTTTAATTCTAATGGTCATGTGATCGTATCGGCCTCGTTAGACGGGACTGTCAGAGCATTTGACCTACACAGGTAATTACCATATTATTATGTTACTCTGTAGCCATATTAACTTTTACTTGAGATACTAGTGATAATAACAATTTTAACTCATTAACCTCAAACTGACCTATATTTTACTAATTTAGGTATTTCATCAAATTCAGATCAATACAGAATAACATATTTGCTGTATTAAATTAATTAGTGCATCTCCAATAGAATCGCATGTAAATCAAAAATCACATTTACTATATACTGGATCATCAAAATTAGACTTATTGTAACCATAGAAACACCTCTGGAATTTACATAAATTCATGCAAGACTTGTTGCTGCTAAGAATATTCATTAATATAATATTTATTTTGACCATAGAAATACCTCTGCTGTTTACATAAGCACATACTTTACTTTATGTCATTTACAGACTTCAAATTTGTGAAAATTTATCTTTTGCAAATAGAAGATTTCCTGTTTGATACGAGATCTCGTGTAATCCAAAAAATTGTGGTTTGAATGTCTCCCACAAAAATCTAATTGTTCAATTTCAAAATTCCTATTTTTCTGAGAGGAATGTCATTGAGATTTATTTTCTTCATCAAAATTGACCATCATTAAATACGTATACATATTAGCATATTAGTACGCGTGGAAATACCCACAACAATTTTTTTTCGTTTGTTGAATCACTCATGATGTTTTTGTTCAATTTCACACATAACGCAAAATCTCGCAAGAGGTTTATAGTACTTATCATGAAACATTAACAAAACTTTAAGTACATGTGTGTATTTTAGATTAAAAAGTACAAGCTATGGAAATGAACAAATTCATCTTTTTTAGGTATCGTAACTTTCGTACATTCACGTCACCTCGTCCAGCACAGTTTCAGTGTTTAGCGTTAGATAGTAGCAGTGAGTTCGTCTGCGCCGGATCTATGGACACGTTTGAAATATTTGTATGGTCAATGCAAACTGGTAGATTACTGGAGGTAAGAATTAACACACTGTTACTCTCACGTCATGTGTGATTTCAAATTAGCTGCAATATTCAAATCAGATATGAATAAAATTCCTGGATACACTGTTTCAAGTGACAGTTCTGGACATTGAATCGTAGCATTTTCTTACTGATGTTTTTACGTGCAAATTGCAAGTGTGAGTGAAAAACTATGTTCCATGTTTGGGACTACATGTCTGGACTATGTGACCATATTCCTATTAATAATGGTATTATTTGCAATTTAATTTAATGAATCAAGACCGTCGAACACAGGCAAAGTTGTATTTGTTAGTGACTGAATCTGGGCCAGTGGAATTGGTCTCCCCATTGAGTTCCAGGGTAGGTATGTAGGTACTTTGGGTGGACCTCTGTCTGATTGTTCAGTTTGTGACAATATCTGAAAATATTTTTGTTATTTTTGGTAAAAAAATGTTATTTACTTATTGCAGGTATTGGCTGGACATCAAGGACCTGTTGTGTCAGTCAGATTCAGTCCTACAGAAGCCATATTGGCTAGTGCATCATGGGATAAAAGTATGAAATTATGGGATGTTTTTGAACATAAAGGAGTCAGAGAATCTTTCCTGCTCAATTCAGATGGTGAGTAAAGTCATTACAAACATCTGTATATGATACTAACTTTAGCATCACAATGTTCAGAAGAATTAAATTTATCAATTTCAAATACAATCTTGTTTCCAAACCAAATTTAAATTTGTTCTACTCTAGCACTGTGTGTTGCATACCGTCCAGATGGTAGAGAGGTTGCCGTAGCAACACTGAACTGCCAGATAACATTTTTTGATGTAGGAACAGGTACACAGACCGGTAGCATCGAAGGACGGCACGACTTGGGTTCTGGACGTAGAGACACTGATTTAATTACTGCTAAGACTGCATCAAAGTCAAAGTAGGAATTTCTTTTTATTCTCGCAACACTGAATTGTATAAAATTGATTTTGAATGACTAAGTTTGGATTTAAAATGGCTAATTGGCGGCCATTTCTTTGAATGAACAATGTTCCAGAGTCATATCTCTGAGATACCTTGACAACTCATGTTCTGATTCTGATTCAAGATGGCGGACTCATTTCCCGTTTTGTTATCCATTAAGGTATAGCTGCAGGTTTGTTGGCACTCGGAGTGAATTTTTTTTTTTTTTGCTTTTTTCTAACCCACACAGTCTTCGCTAGATAGTGTTAAAATTTTGGAGCATTGTCAATGCTGGAACATCCCAAAAAAAAACGATTTTAAAATATCAGACAAACTTGTAACACACCTTGAAAACCCAATGATATTTTCTATTCCAGGGCTTTCACAACAATGTGTTATTCTGCAGATGGACAATGTATTCTAGCTTCCGGCAAATCTAAACACATCTGTATTTACAACATAAAAGAACAAATTTTGTTGAAAAAATTTGAAATTTCACATAATTTATCTCTTGATGCCATGGAGGTGAGTACAGTTTCTATTTAGTGAAAAACAATCTTTTTTATGCAAAGATACAAGAATAATTTGTTATCCTTTTGGAGATTATTCTGTTTCCCGCCAGAATTTTGGTGCAACAAGTAAATTTATTTACTTATAATTTAGTTGTTATTTTTGGATCTAATTGACATAATTTCCTATTGGCTATACGTCTTGATCAAAAATTTGTTCTATAATTTGTTTATTTTTCGACCAAATTGACATAATTTTGATCAAAATTTTTTAAAAATTATGTAAAAGATTATGGAGGTTTATTTTGTGAAAAATTGCCTTTAATGCTCAAATGTTTATATGTAGCTAGAGTTATTTACTGATTCGTCACTGTTTGTGTAGTTGTATCGGATTCATGATCAGTAAATCTGAGTTCAAATCCTTTGTATGATTTTATTTTTTGTTGTTTTATTTCTTGATAGGAATTTCTAGATCGTCGTAAAATGACAGAATTTGGCAGTGTTGCTCTGATCGATGATGTCGATGATGATGAACAAACTGTTTTGACGTTGCCAGGTGTCAAAAAAGGAGATCTGAGCTCCAGGTCATTCAAACCGGAAATCAACGTAACATGCGTCAGATTTTCACCAACAGGTGGGTGTCTTAGACAAAATGGTCGCCAGGATCTTGTTGAGAATGAACTACTCATGAATTTGTTTTTGCCCCTCAAATAGTGCTGCATTCTCCCCCGCCATTGTGTGCACTGTTCCAAATACCATGGTTACATATGTCAGGGGAACAGTGCACTGTGACAATGGGGAGAATGGAGTACTATTTGAGGGGAAAAAATCAGCTCTTGTACTCTCAATGGAGTCTTGTCAGCCATTTATTCAAAATAAAATTCATATGGTAATAAAACTACAATAAATTCCCAAAATATGAAAATGTAATATTTCCAGAGTTTTCAAAAAAAAGCTAAATTCAAATTTCAACTACTGTGTACATTTAGATATAGTCTTGATTGTATAGGCATAAAAAATGTCAATTACAACGAAAATAAATAAATAACTTATTTGAAAATAAAAAAAATGATTGTAGTTGTTCCATTTTATGAACAGTATATTTAGGGATTGCATAGTTGAGTAAATAATTTGCAAACACACATCTTTCTTCTGCAGGTCGTTCCTGGTCAGCAACGACAACTGAAGGCCTCCTTGTGTACTCTCTTGACCATTCCATGACCTTTGACCCATATGACCTCACAGTTGATGTGACCCCTGACACCATCCGCAGTAATTTATTCACAAAGGACTACTCCAATGCTCTGATGCTGAGTTTTAAACTGAATGAGAAAAATCTGATTGAGGAAGTGGTTGAGAGCATCCCGCCCAGTGAAGGTGAGAATTTATGACCTTATGACCTTAAGGTCGCACATCCTGGTATGTTAAAAAAATGTTACTTAGCAACCAGGTAATTGATAAAAATAAAGCAGCTTAATCCTGTTATTAGGGACATCAGAAAAAAACCAAAATTTTTAAAGAATGGTGCAGAAAAAGTTTGAAAAAAATTTCAATTATGTTAATTTTATTGCAGGAAATTCTTCTGATTGGTTGATATTTGAAAAATATTTATTCCCATTTGTTTACAAATAAAGATTTCATTGGAAGACTATGGCATTAATAAAGTAATGTAAAATACTAGTAGATATCAATTGGAAAAATGTCTCTTGATTTAGACTAGAGGTTATTCACTGCAAAGATCTCTTGTTATGCATGGAATTGAACATAACAAACGAACATAGCATCGTAGTGACATCAAAAACATTGCATGGAATTGAACATAACAAACGAACATAGCATCGTAGTGA